ACAGGAGAGGGTTTCTGCCACTGAAATTCATCACATTCATATACGGACTCTATTTAACTCATTTGGACTCAACTGAAGAGCAGATTGCTCCATTCAACATTTGTGAACCCTGGACTCTACTGGTACTTCACTGGACTTTATTTTGGACTGTACTGGACCCAACTGGACTTTCTAAGGGATTTCACTGGACTGCATTGGTTTCTATTAGTTTTGTATAGGATCTGGTAAAAATCTGCTTTACTGTGCCAGCAGTGCTGAAAATTTGCTGATGAATGAATTTTGACGGATTCTACACTGCAGGGCTATTTGTTTAATTTGTTTGGGCAATCCAAGGTAAATTAAGATAATCCAATGTCAGTGGTAGAGTTATCTGTCTCAGATTACTTTGAGTAAAAGATCAATCAGACCGGATTTATTGTTTAAACACACAAAAATCTGGTTTGGCAAGTTGTTAGATTAATTGAGGTGGGTGGATCTCGGTCAGGTTTGTTTGAACAGGAGGTCAAAAAAATAGTTATCTTCCTTTTATTAGGGTTATTTATTTTGGCTGCAAGGTCAAAGTTTGAATGCTGGCCTAGTTTAAACCTCATGTCTTGGTGGAGGATGCAAACGACCATCAGGAGCAGTAGCAGCTGCAGCAGCATGAGTCTCCTGTGTGTCCTGTGGCTGCTGATGGTCTGTCTGGCTCCTGGAAGCCGAGGCCAGAGGCTGAAGGAGTCAGACGGGGCGCAGCCAGCAGCCAGGGCTCAGCTGGCGGAGAGAGACGCGCTCTGCCACCCGGAGGGATGCTACGCTGTCTTCCTCCAGAAGAGAAGCTTCAGGGAGGCTGGGCGGAGCTGCCGGGAGCGAGGTGGGACCCTGGCAACGATGCACACCCACGAGGCAGCGGGTGTGGTCCATGAGCTGCTGTCGGCCATCGAGGGGACCAGGTCAAGGCTTCGCCTATGGATCGGGCTGCATAGACCACCACGCCAGTGCTCATCCACACGACCACTAAGAGGATTCGTCTGGGTCACAGGCAAAGTCTCACCTTTTTGACATTTGACCCTTCAGTGTTCTTAAAATTAACCTTCTTCACTGTAGCACCCATTTTGTTGGCTTTTAGTAACTAAACTCAGACAAAATATCCCCAAATAAGGAAAGGTACATAATGGTACCTTTTTTCTTGCAATTAAACTTTAAAGTTTAAAGTTCCCTCTTGATTCTGGCAGTGTTTGAGCCTGACATAAACACAATTAAATCAACTAGTGCTAGATGTTTAAGCCACTAGATACATCTTAGATGAACACATGTGGACCTGTGTAAACTTTCATAAACTTTTTCCCAAACTAAACTCTCTTAAATCAGTTTGATTCAGTATTTACAGCCACTGGGCCTACTTCAAATTGCTTCTTCCACACATGCATATCAGCTGTATCAAGAGCTGATGAATCACTTTCAGATTTTGCTATTAAAGCATTGTGCTTTGTCTGACCTCTCCGTCAGACTCTGGTACCTGGGCCAGCCTCCACAGCTCTGCGCTGACTGCATGTTTATTACATTAGCTACTTTTGTTTCACAGAGACAGAGCTGGCGCGACAGGGGAAGTCCAATCCATCTTTTGACATCGCTGTTACCCCTCAACCTGATTTAGTCATTACATAAACCTCGTTCACTAAAAGCCAGATTGTTTTTTTATCACTCAAAATGTCTGCCTTGGTCTTGATTTAGAACAGACATTACATTTTCAAGAGTTATGTGGCCAGCTTTGTTTTGTTTTTTTTCCCCATCTGTCATAATTTAAAGGGTTGGTTTACCCAAATTACAAAAATAGTCCTAATATGTTTCTCATTTATTCCTGGTTAAAGATAGTTTTGGTTTTATTAAACTCAGTTTGATAGAAAGATTTCTGATGAAGTATGTGAAGAAAAGTTTGTTTGTGGTGCTCACAGCATTGAAAAAATATGTTAATAAAAGTGCAACCCATCTGTATAATTACAACCCAGATCTTCTAATGTGGTAAAACCAGCTTTGTGTTGAGTTTTGGTGCAGCTACAGCATATTATAGTATACTATACAGGCTTATAGTATACTACTACTAACAGGAAAATCTTACAATCTGAATTGTATTGCAGTGAATATATGGGTGAGGTAAATCAGGTGTTTTCAAGGGCCATATGTGTGGAATTTGAAAATGTTTGACGTTGGCGGCTCCTAGTGGTGCTATTAAAAAAGACAATGGGGCAGACTGCAGTGCAAGCTGCTATAAACACCAAACCTCACTGAGCCAACCCAGAAACAATGACAGTTAATGGGGTTACCCATATATTTGCATTAAAAATTCTTAACATAGTAGCTTTAGTCATTATCTTAAGGGTTAACAATTTAAGTGTGTTGTATAAATCTGAAAAAGCAAATTAAATACTGCAAAATAAATTGCATATACTTAGAAATAATAGACAGACACTAAAAGAGAGAATTTCTAATTTAACTGACCTAGTCCTCATTTTTGTTTTCCAACAGGAGACCAGGACGGCCAGTTCATCAACTGGCTCCGTGAAGACACCCCTGGGACTTGTGCGGCCCCTCGCTGTGTGGCCATGACCGTCCACACTTCTGAGAGTGGACGTGAGAACAACGACAATTTCCGGTGGCTGGACGGCTCCTGTGCACTGCCCTTGGATGGATATGTTTGCCAGTACAACTACAAAGGAATGTGCGTACCACTTAAGGATGAGGGCAGTGGTCCAGCTATTTACACCACCCCATTTCACCTCGTCAGCACACTGCTGACCCATGTGCCTTATGGGTCTGTAGCGGCTCTACCATGCCCTGCAGGCGGCTCAGACCCAGAGGATCCTGCTGAGCAGACAGTGCTGTGCATGGAGAGAGATGACGAGACGGTGGGCTGGTCCAGGGATGCCCCTCTCTGCTCGTCTGGGGCATCTCCAAAGAACCAGGACTGGTGCAGTGGGGACCATGGCTGTGAGCAGTACTGTCAGAACACAGACACAGATTACTACTGTTACTGCTCAGAGGGTTTTACGATAGATGAGGACGGATACAGCTGCAAGCCTGATCCCCTGACACAAACTGACACCCCTGAACTGTCCGCTGACTCAGCTGGTCCCACTGAGGAGTCCCAAATAAAAGAGATCTGTGTAGAGATGGGGTGTGAGTACGACTGTGTGGAGACACAGCGGGGCATCCGCTGCACATGTCCCCCGGGCTACCAGATGGGTCCAGATGGCCGCAAATGTTCTGATGTAGACGAGTGTCAACAACAACCATGCCTGCAACTCTGCGTCAACATCCCAGGCACCTTCCACTGCACCTGCCACTCTGGGTACCAGCCAGATGATGAGGGCGAGTGCGTGGACATAGATGAGTGCCTCGATGAAGCCAGCTGTGAAGGCACTTGTGAAAACACAGTGGGGTCCTTCACATGCTTGTGTAACCCAGGGTATGAGTCAGGCAGCGGAGGAGAGTGTGTGGATATAGATGAGTGTGTGGGGGAGTCGCCCTGTCAGCAGCAGTGTCTCAACTACATGGGAGGGTACCAGTGTTACTGTGACAATGGTTATGACCTGCAGTCAGATGGACTTACCTGCCAGCCTTCGCCTGATGATGAAGAATATTCCACTCTGACCCCTTACCCCAGTGACTCTGCTCACATACCCGGCTTGGACCCTGATCATGATAATCCCTGGTCCACCTCTTTCACCCCGGACCCAAACTTTGAAGCTGACACTAACTTTGATGTTGACTGGCTGACAGAGGCCCCTGAGGTACTCTCCCCTGACATGGGTCATGGGTCAGACAATCACCTGAACCAATGGGATGCCCTATCACCAAAGCGATATCAGACAACCCCACCCCCGGCACAAAAAGACAACACAGGCAATGAAATTGACAATGAGGCTGAAGCTAGAGAAGCTAGTGACGGGGCTGATGTTGAAACTGCTGTTGGGACCAGGGATGGGGATGGGTCTAAGATGGAAAACACAGAGGGTGTCAGTGGCACGGTGGAGGCAGACGCTGGATCTGATGATGGTAAACGAAAGCATGACAAGAGCTGGCTGCTGGTGGCCCTGCTGGTGCCTCTGTGTGTGTTCCTCGTAGTGATGCTGGCTCTGGGGATCGTCTACTGCACCAGCTGTGCTGTGGACAAGAGCCTGAGCTTCTCAAACTGCTATCGCTGGATACTCCCTACGACGCCTCCTGACAGGAGGGATGGCAAAACCCAAGCATGAACTCTAAAATAAACAAACACGCACACAGATGTGTTGAAGGCCTGGGGCTGATCACTAAATCCACCTTTCGGATATAGCACAGCTGAGCGGCCCTCCCATTCATCAAGCAAAACTTAATAGGCTACTTTCTGTTGCACAACCCTTGTAAATATTTCACTTTCTCATCATGTTTTTTTAGAATTCAATAAAATCAATAAACTGATGAAATACTGTGTGGTTTGTAAGCCTGTCCAGCTCATAATGTGTGTGTGGAAAGCAGTGTTGGGAGGGTTACTTTTGAAATGTAATAGGTTACACATTACAGTGAATGAACAAATGTAATGTAACTATTTAAATTACTTCATTAAAGTAATGTAACTTATCACATTTGATTACTCTTTTGGTTATTTTTCAAATTAATATGTTAAAGTGGGCGATAAAGCTGAAAAATTAAAATAGGCTATGCCAAAAGAAGACATTGTGCATGGCAAAAAGATGCGGCACAACAAAATGAATATTATATCCTGCATATAAACGTTTTACGAAAAGAATATATGCAGATGTTACTCCAACATTTTGTAACTGATTGCAATTACATTTATTTGTAATTGTAACCAGTTACACCCAAATACTGTTGGATAGAATGAATGGGTAAACACATATTAAAGGCTTTGGTGAGCAAAACAGGGAGTGGGGGAGGGTATGGAGGAGGAGTCATATGCTGGTGGGGGGGGGTCATCATGTGTACATGTGGTGTCACCTTAAGTTGTCACGAGTTTCGGTTGTGTGACCACTCTGCCAGGGTTATAACCGTTGTACACTGTGTACCGGGACCGAATGATGTTGAGATGTCTCCGATTATGGAAAAGGAATCCGACGAGGATGGGATTCGAACCCACGCGTGCAGAGCACAATGGATTAGCAGTCCATCGCCTTAACCACTCGGCCACCTCGTCGTGTGTTGCTACGAGGTTGAGATATTGGTAATTATTTATACATATTATTGTGTTTTATCATCTTTTGTGTGGTGTTATTGTGTGTTTGTTTTAGGTGTTCGGATATCGTGTTTTTTGTACGTTCACCCTTGGTCTGAAAATTACGACGTGAAGCTCATGGAAAAGTTCTGCGCAGCTACTTCTTGATTGGCTAGTTTTTCCATCAACCACAATTTAGAGCCTCTGATTGGCTGAGGGGCGGGTCTTACGTTGAATGAATACAGGAAGTGTACAGCGTGAGACTGCACTTTGACGTTCGCCGGAGCTGTTGAAGAGAATAAGGTAACAAGCAGTTGAGTTAGTATCCATCTTTATAGCTCTTTGGATTCACGGTATAGTGGCTAATCATACACGGAAATAGGTCGGGTAGTATTTGCGAAGCACTGTTGTGCGCACAGAAGTTTTGGGCGTGTGTTTAATTTGCTCCAAGCACTTAGCAGCCGGCTTAGCATGCATGCTAGGAGCTAACAGTCATGGTAACACTGAGTTAGCTGTTTGCAGTGGCCTGAGGACGAAACATATTTCCACTATTTACTTACACATGTAGTTGAGTGTTGCCCTGCCGTTAGTAGGTTGCTGATTTTTAAAGAGATTTAAAGCATGTTGCCGCTGGTTTAAATATGCTTGAGTATAATTAACGTTATTAGTTTTATTTGAAAGTGAAAGAAATCTGCCTGCAGTAACGTTATCGTTAATTACAACTGATTGGTTCCTGTTGACTCTGCGCCATGGTCAGCTATGATAGGTCAAGGTTCACCAGCTGCTCGTCTCATAAACTTGAAATTGGATATGATTTAAATAAACTTTTACCTTTGTCCACATCCTAGGCTTAACTTTTACTTTTAACTTACCCCATTAAACTGTAACAGTATCTTCCATTATACTACACACCACCTAACCACGTTTACCTCTTCAGAAGAAAGTACATTAAAAAATCCCCAAAATAATTAACAGTAGACTCAATGTTGAATCAATATTAGTGCTTTGACAATTGTGGTTCATAGAGAGGAACTTAATAAAAAATCACCTTGATAAAACATAAACAATGGGGTGAAGTTTTGCTGCTTTTCTCTCATATATCATTGTAAATCGAATAACACTGGGATTTTTGGCTGTGAGTCGGACAAAACAAGTAATTTAAAGACCTCTCCTAGATTTCCAGAAAACTGATGCAGTCATTCACAATATTTCATAGACTAGACAATAGTATGAATTATTAACTGTTTAATCAGTAAGGTAAATAAGCTATAGTGGCAGCACTAGTATTGTGTAAAATGACTTTTAAGAAGTATACTATAGGCTATATTCTTTATACAAGAATCATACATAGCAAAACCAAGCTGCTGATTTTATAATATGAAATAAAGACAACTTTTACTGTTAACCAGTATGTTAGTACAACTGTTGGAAAATTGCTTTATTTGTTTGTACAATACACAAGCTGCTTAACTTGTCCGAAGTAAAGACAGGTGTGCAAATACTCCCTAGAGCTCATGGTTATCTTAAAAAAAAAAAAAAGCAGCCAATCCTGTCTGTTCTAACTTGCAATTTCACTTTTTTCTCTGCTTTGCTAATCTCTTTACTACCTCTGCTCTCTCATTTCTTTCTCATCCCATTTACATTCTCTTGCTCCCCTTTCCCTACCTCATGTATCTCTCTTTTCCCACTTCCCTTCCCCTCTCGCAATTCAGTTCCTCATCATCCTCGGCAGTGTTAAACCTCAGACTAAAGATGGTGGACTCCCAGTACTACCTTCCAAATGACATCGGTGTCTCTGCTCTCGACTGTGGCGAGGCCTTCCGTTTGCTTTCACCTCAGGAGAAGATGTACGCCCACTACATGTCACGAGCCGCTTGGTATGTTACTCATCTCAGCATGCAGCAAGTTCAGTATTAAAATCAAGAAATAAGAAATTTCTCACCTCAATGAAAACTTGAAACTTATGTTGATGGAGGAACTGAAACCCTGCTGACCAAAAAAACATCTGCTGTTTTAGGTATGGTGGTCTGGCAGTGCTGCTGCAGACGTCCCCAGAGTCAGCAAACATCTTTGTCTTGCTGCAGAGAATCTTCAAGAAGCAGACGCCTGCACAGCTGGAGCAGGTCGCCACAGCAGCTGGACTCAGCTCTGAGGAATACCAGGTACACAGTTGGCTGTTTTTGGTGCTGTCCTGACACGCCCTTTTACACACATTCACAACTGTAAACACATGTTAAGATGTTTATTATGCTATACACAGAATGAAAACCTTTTTTGTTGTATTTCTTGTGCTTGATATTTAGGCATTCTTGGTGTATGCAGCTGGTCTGTATGCCAACATGGGAAACTACAAGTCTTTTGGAGACACCAAGTTCATCCCAAATCTACCCAAGGTAAAAATTCAGTTCAGCTGCTTTGTAAACAGTCACTTACAGGGGGGTGGAGACAACAAGATGAACACCTGTATCATGTAATGCAATCCAATACAATAGCGCCTTAAAATATGGACTCAAGAAGTTGAATCAAGTTGTCAGACTGTGACATACTTCGAGCTGTCTGCATCTGTTAAATGTCCACACAGGACAAGCTAGAAGCTCTGGTGAAGGCCAGCCAGGCGTTTCAGGAGCAGCCCGCTGAGATGGAGGCTCTGTGGGACAGCTGCTCGTGTCCCCTGTACTCCCTGGAAGACAGACAGAAACAGCTGGGGCTGGGAGACAAGGTGGGATCTTGTATCATTTAATGCAGAGTTCAGGCAAACAGTTTTGTCTGGTAATGTTTAATTAAACATCCATCATGTTGTCAGGAGTGGATAGATTTGATAAATGTAAAAGGAGATTTCTCATTCTGCATCTTAAGCACTATTAGGAAGTCAAATATTCTGCAGTGTGGTGTCTTTAGATTGGCTGCAAACAACGCCATTTGCCATTTTAGGAAGCCACTGAACCCCAAACTTCCAGTGGGTTCTTCAGTCAACATTTGTCACTGTAAGCCTCATAAGAAAATCCATGGCTCATAAAGCAATTCTGCTTTCCTTTTCTTCAGGGCATTACCACCTACTTCTCAGGAAACTGCTGCCTGGAGGATGCTGAGCTGGCTCAGAAGTTCCTTGACTCAAAAGTAAGTAATATTCTTATATCCGTTGTCATCTCCCCAGTCTCTTGTAATACCCTGTACTTTCTTTTCTTCTGTACTCCATTCTGACACCTCCATTCTTTTCCTTGTGTCACTCAATTTACTTTTTTCTTAATCCTCTTTCACCTCTGACCTCCATTTTGACAGTTCATCCTGTCTCTCTGTCTTTGCTCACTCCTTAATGTATCTTTCAGTCTGATTCGGCTTATTCTTAGCTGTGTTCTTGTGGTTTTATCTCCAGAAACTCTCAGCTTACAACACCCGACTGTTTAAGAGGGAAAATGGAGGTAAAGCCTGCTATGAGGTGCGCCTGGCTTCAGCTGTGCAGAAAGGTCAGAGCTACAGTCTTACACGAGAACCTAAATAAGATTTATACACATTCGCAACATTCGTCAAGCATACAGCACTTGTAACAGATTTGGCATAGAGAATGTGATACATATCACATGTTCATATAGACTTCAAGTTATGCTACAGACATTCTAGCTTGTGAGCTCAAACACATTATGATTGCCAGCAAGTTGATATGAAGAGATTTCTTTTGTGTAACTAATGTTGTTAATGATGCTACACAGGCATTTAAAGCAAAGAAATGTACACTACTGTTTCACAGACTGCGCAGTGGAGGGGGAATGCGAGTCATGCTGCGGCAGCTTCAACTTTGAAGACAAAGAGTTCACTGTGAAGAGGGGAGACTATGCTCCTGTCATGGAGAAGGTCGCTTATTACCTTAAGAAAGCACAGGTGAGAGCGAGGGATACGAAGTGGGTTATAGTCAGTGTTCAGACGGTATTGTTTCAGCTGTTTGGAACCACAATCAGAACAAAATCATTAAATATCAAGTTGATTGAGCAATACAAAGTTATTAATATTGCTGTTAAACATGGAGAACTGCTTTTGTTAAATTGTTGGAGTTGATAGAACAAGTTCAGTGCCCATTCAGTTGTGCCTGTGCAGAAGAGGCCGATAGCTTGGCCTCCAGTATTGCTGCTTCTATCTTTCTTGAGAACCGCTCATCCAAACATTTTCACACTTGACACTGATAGTGTTTATGCCCTGAGCAACACACCTGCCATAATGTATTTGCTTTCCCTATCAATGCTAGATTTGCTAACAACTTGCTATTTTGAGCAAGGGTAATTCCTGTAACAAAAATGCTGATTCCAAAAGTTAAGTTTCCGTTTTTGCACAAGAGAAGCAGATGTTTGTGAGTGTGAGTGAAAACACACTTTTAGACCCAGCACAATAAACGGTTAAGTTTCACTCTCATTGTGCTAGATGCTCTGCTGCTCCATCTGTGCCCAGAGTACACTCTGCGCTCCAACAGCACTCCTAATGAACGGTCCAGCTCCAAAAATAGAAATTTCACAATGTGGCGCTAGATGTTTTATTTGTGACGGGCCACCACAAATAAATGAAAGTGGTTTGCTATAATGTACCATCTCCAGTCTCTCTTATTTTCATCTGCTGTTGGATATACTAAAGCAAGCAACAGAGTGCAAGCTTTGGCAGTTAAACAGTTAATGGGGGTCCATAGTCAATCCACTACACAGTGTGTACATAACACACTACTGATAAATATGTCTCATAGATCTCAAGAGCTTGCACTTGACGTTACACTTCCTCTGCAATATACCAGCCAAGTGTGAATTTGATCAGATGAATGGTTGTCAGACAAATTGGAAGACAAACAGAGACTCCCTCCATTTTAGTTAGATATCAGCAGCCACACTACTGAGAGTAAAAGAACCAGGAGGACTAGAATGACAAGCAATATCAAAATTGCATCTTAAAATGAATGTAAAAAGCACTGAGCTTTGGCAAATATAACACAAAGAGGAGGTAAGAATGCACAGATAGATAGTTCCCTTTAGTTGTGTAAAAGTAATTGAATGAGTTGATAACCTAAAAATAATCCTCCTGCCCAACTCCACTCTTATACTTCTTCTTCTGTTGTCAAATAATGAACACAGGCCTATGCTGCCAATGAGAACCAGAAAAAGATGCTCGAGGAGTACATCCGCAGCTTCACCTTTGGCTCAATTGAGGCCCATAAAGAGGGCTCACGCTACTGGATCAAAGACAAGGGACCAATTGTTGAGAGGTGAGCCCACCGAATATCAAATCATGGTAACCTTGAATGTTATCTGATATATGAAAGACACAGAACAAATGTGTAGCTGTGGTCATGCTACTCTTGTGTAATAATCTCTCTCTCTCTGTTCCTTCACTCCTTGTCTCAGTTATATAGGTTTCATAGAGAGCTACAGAGACCCATTTGGCTCCAGAGGAGAGTTTGAAGGTAACTAACATGGTGATTTAAGAACAATGATATCAACATGTTTATTGGTATACAAGAAGGCAGCCTGTGTGTGAATGAGTGTGTGTGTGTGTGTGTGTGTGTTAAAATATCTGGCATAATAGTAGGGTTTATATTGCTGTCCTTTCTTCAGGATAAGTCAGACATTGTTTTCTATCACTTCCTAACTCCGGGGTTGTGACGTCACTTTTAGGTTTCATTGCGGTTGTGAACAAGGCCATGAGTGAGCGCTTTGCCAAACTGGTGAGCTCTGCAGAAGTCTTGCTCCCTGAGCTGCCCTGGCCGAGGGAGTTTGAGAAGGACACTTTCCTCAAACCCGACTTCACCTCGCTGGATGTTCTCACCTTCGCTGGCAGTGGAATTCCAGCTGGCATCAACATCCCCAACTGTATGTACGCCACTGGGAGATGGTTTTAAACTACACGCTACTGTGTCACATAACTTCGTTCACTTGGTTTAAGTTTGAAATGCTTTTGTCTGGCACACAGTGTTATACTTAAAAACAGTGTTTGTGTGTTTTTGTGTGTAGATGATGACATCAGACAGTCGGAGGGCTTTAAAAACGTGTCACTAGGCAACGTGCTGGCTGTAGCTTATGCTACGCAAAAAGAGAAGCTCACCTTCCTGGAGGAGGAGGACAAGGTAACTCATGCAGCGTCCTGATTCTCTCACACATCAGATCTTCTCTCTCACACACTCCCATAATTATACATCCTCTTGTCTGTGCATGTGTGTGCACACTAGGACTTGTTTATCAAGTGGAAGGGCCCATCATTTGAGGTACAGGTTGGACTACATGAGCTGCTGGGCCATGGGAGCGGCAAGCTGTTTGTCCAGGTCAGTTTAATATAAAGTCACTGACATTGGATTAAAGAGTAATCAGTGAGGAAATAAAATCTGATTTTGGGTTTGTTTTGCTCCATCTCTTCCCACAGGATGACAACGGCAAGTTCAACTTTGACCAGAGTAAAGTAACCAACCCAGAGACTGGCGAACCTGTGAGTCTGTTTGTGTGTACCCCTTTTGTTAACTCTGACAAAAATAGTAACTAATTATGCGAGTGTGTATTTTTGTTTTTTTAGGTGTCCAGTTGGTATCGGGGCAGCGAGACATGGGACAGTAAATTCTCCACCATTGCTTCCTCTTACGAAGAATGCCGCGCTGAGTGTGTGGGACTCTATCTGTGTCTCAACAAGGAAGTGCTCAGGTATGTCATCTTTTGCTCATTGTTTATTGCTTTTCATTAGATATATGCATGTTACACATATCCATGTAACCCCTGATCCTCCTCCATGGTTTGATGTTGGAGTTGGAATTGACTTTTGACTGTCAAAAGCAAGCGAAACAAAGACTGGTCACGTTAGTTGTAGCTTCCAAATCCTGTAAATCCCCAGAATGCTCTGGCAAGAGAACATTTAGTGAATATGGGTCACAAGCAGGAGACATAAAAAAATCAGGAGGTGTATTTAAGTGTGTCAGTTGTTTACCCAAGGAGAGTGCATATTATCAGTTTGTTTGGGAGCCTTTAAGAGCTGTTTGGATCAATACCTCTGGTTTGCTCTGTGCAGGGGATGCTATGTTATTATTCATGTCACAAACAGTCTCACACTTTATTGATGACCTTTTGGGGGAAAATAATTAATCCCATCATGTTATTTAGGCTGTTCTAAAGAAAATAACTGGAATGGTGTAGTTATTATTTCTGGTATAGCCCAGTGTAGCTGATGGCTATGTGGGCGGCTAGCATGCTAACTGTGGAGTAACTTTGTTTCAGTATTTTTGGCCACGAGGGCCAGGATGCGGAGGACGTGGTGTATGTCAACTGGCTGAGCATGGTCAGAGCTGGACTGCTGGGCCTGGAGTTCTACACACCTGAGAGCAAGAGCTGGAGACAGGTAATCTGTCTGTCTGCCTACAAGTTACTTTTTTCCCATAACATGCCGTCTCTCCCACTCTTTACATTTTACTTTCTTTAATATAGAACTGGAGAGATACGTATTTTTAAGCGAACAGTGTTTATGAGACAAGTCAGCATACCGACTATTAGGCATGTGTTTCTTACGACCTGTCTGGCTCAGTTTTCTAGTTTTATAGTACAGCTTACACTCAGTCTGTCTCTGTTTATACGAGTGTCAGGAGATGTATACAGTGTGTGTCATATAAATGTGTGTGTGTGTGTCTGTGTGTCCGTAGGCACACATGCAGGCTCGTTTTGTGATCCTGCGTGTTCTGCTGGAGGCCGGGGAGGGCCTGGTGGGCCTGGAGGAAGTGACGGGACAGGACGGCAAGCCTGACGCTCGAATCACACTGGACAGAAGCAAGATCCACACTGTGGGCAAGAATGCCATCCACAGGTTCCTCCGTAAACTGCAGGTAACCTAATTTCACACAGACAGCAGGTCTTAAATGACAAATTAAACATAATGAAGAAAATGCAATGAATCCTGAAAAGACTTAGAGTTGTGTGCATATGCGTCTACATGTGCAAACCAAATGTGGGTGCATTAAAATAACTATTTTATAGTACCATTAGTGGTCAAAAACCTCACAGATGCCTCCTTTGAATTGTCTATAAATCAGTCTAAAGGAAATTAATCTGCAAAAATTAGGATTATTGAGTAATTGATTAACTTTCAAAGCAAAAATTCTAAGAGACATCGCTAGTTCTGGCTTTGCAAATGTGAATATTTGCTGGTTTTATTTGTCTTCTATTATAGTAAACTCAGTGTATTTGGGTTTTGGATTGTTGGTCAGACAAAACAAATAATTGCCTCCAAGAGCAAAGAACGACAAATTACCGAGTGCTCACAGGTGAGAGGTAGTGGACTCCAGATGAGTGCCAGGTGCTCTTGAAGTTGAAAATAGTCAATTATAGAAAAACAAAAAAGCACAAAGCTTGCTTCAGGCACACCGACAGAGCCAAGGATATTATAAAATGCCTTTATTAATTAGGGCATGTCAATATAAAATAACTACGAAACGCCGACCGGTTTCGACCACACAGGGTCTTCGTCAGGGCGTGAAAGAGACAAACCTAATAATTGCCTCCGCCACGGAGGTTATGTTTTCGCTGGTATTTGTCTGTTTGTCTGCAAAATAACTCGATTGTCAACCTTTCCTGAAAATTTCATCAAAATCCGTTTAGAACTTTTCAAGTTATTTTGGAGACAAACAGACCAACGCTGGCAAAAACATAACCTCCTTGGTGGAGGTAATAATTGTTAGCAGCAGCTTTTATTACAATAAATGAAGTAATAATAAATAAAATTAAGCTACAGAATAAAAAATCCAACCAACTAGGTTTTCAGGTTGCGATATTGTCTTAAATGTTTGCTTAAATTTTATTTAGACACTTTATTTGTTAAAAATGTTTTTTAATATGTCGTGCGACTCTAGTATGGCAATGCTACATGGTAATCATATTGGGTATGATTGTTAGTCTTCACTGTATTACCCAATAACCTGGGAGCTTTCCTGTCTACTAGTACTACTCATCTCCTTTTATTTTATTTGTACTAACATGATATAAAGGAATTATGACCCCTTGATGGTTGTGTACTGCTGTGTACTGCAGTTCTGTTTGCCTGTCCCTTAACAAATGATCATGCTTAATTTTACTCAACCTGTTGCTAACCTGATTTTGCCGTTCTGTAGGTCTTAAAGGCCACAGCAGATGTGGAAGGAGGCAGGGCTCTTTATGACACTTACTCCACTGTCAGCGACAGCGGTGCTCACAACTTCTTGCGTCTCCGGGAGACGGTGCTGCTGAGGAAGGAAGCTCGTAAGATGTTTGTCCAGGCCAACACCAGGGTCAATGGTATGTACCTGAATCTGTGCTTGTCATGGGGGTTCACCCATGTTTATTAACACAGATGCAGACCTCTCACATCTGTCTTTATTCTGCCGTTGATTTCACTGCATTGCAACATTACTGTCACTTGTTAATATAATGGAAATATATTTGTCCTGATTCTTTCCCATGAACAGAACGGTTAAGTGCAGCACACACCGCCACCATATGCCGCACGTCAAAACGCCCACTTCCATTATATTCTATGAACAAACCCACACCCTCGCTGGCCGCCGCGCCGCACCACTCTGCTTCAGCCCACTGCTCTATTTCCAGCGCGGCCGCTGCTGCGAGAAAAGCCTTTTATGTATGTCTCGGCCGCCATAGTATCAACTCCAGCTTTCAAAGGGGTATCTGGATGCTGAACGTTATTAAGTTTTTCAAATTTTTAATAAGACAATTTTGATAAGAAACTCACCCGTGAAATCTAAGTAGTTTTTCCTCTACTTCTTCTGTTACTAGCAGTTGACAACCGTTGGCAACTAGTGTAGGTACAGCAACCTAGCGGGCTGGGGTGGAAAATACTCTTTAGTGTCGACGGTGGCGCTGCGCGCCGCTGCCAGTGTGTGTTGGGGGGCGGCACTTGACGGCCACAGCGCCGCACCGGCAGCAGTGTGTGTTGCACTTAATGTGACCGGACCTTTTAGAGTGTGGCTGTTCCAAACAGCTGTGAAAACTTGGTTAATCTTTTTTTAGTCTTAAGTATCATTTCGAGTGGCATTTAAAAAAGTCTTAAATCTAACTTGTCTGCAGGAGCCCAGCCTGATAATTAGCTGTTAAAAAATCACAACAATAAAAAGCATTCAAAAGACATTGAACATAGCATTGAAACATTTTACTGAAATGTTTTGTAGTTGTGATTGTACGTGCGTAGAAGCACTTGTAGACTCTTCCACTGACAGAGGCGATTATTCAGTTGGTGTCATACTCTGTGTGGTTTCCAGGGGACAGCGTCGAGCTGATCGAATACGAAGGCAGCGCAGCAGGTTTGATTCGCTCCTTCACCGAGCGCTTCCAAGACGACGCAGAGCAGCTGGAGGCCAATCTCTTGGAGCTGAACAAAAGAGACTCTCCCTGCTGGTGCTGATGGATAGATGGATAATCTGCTCCATGGGCTTCAAAAATACCAACTGTAATCTTTTTTTCTTTTTTTACAGTATACAAAAGTAAATTGATTCTTAATGGATGTTAAAACACAAAACTGCATAATAATCCAAATCCTTTTACTATAGACTTCTGAAGAGACTAAATTAAAGTTTCATACAGTACAATAAAGCCATAAGACTAGAACAGATCTGCCAAAGACACCAGCCACAGTTTTTCTAGCCACGACTCAGATCCAGGGTCAGGTGCTGTCTTTGATAACACAATCAAACACAAATAAATGAGCTGATACAGCATTATCACTCTTTTAATAGCATGTAGGACACATTTTTCTGATAAGACGTGCTGAGAACTGTCCTTTAGACTAATGCTGGCTGATGATGAGAGCAGTTCTTAGGTATAAATGTGTAAGTGACTGCAGGTAGGTTTTACTTTGCAGTCATGGCAGGGTCAGAATTTGGCTATAAATCTTCACAAATGACTGAGACATGTTTTGTCCGTACGTAAAATGATTTCCATGAATTGATTTTTACAAAATTATTCGACCTTTACAGTAAGTTGAATGCTTGTCCAGCCTTGGTGTTGATGGCAATATGACAGGTTAAGACTGTTAACTAGCTGTCATTGCAGCTCAGTGTTGACTATAAGGCAAATTATACTTAGTGGTTTGTTTGTTTTCTTGCCCATGTTTGGTATAAAGAAGTCATGGCTTATTACTTGACTGTATAAAATATTGCTGTGTCTGGGAGGCCTAAAAGAAAAGCTGTATGCAAGAAATGTGGTGTTGAATCTGCACAAATAAAACTTGTTTGATAAGATCTTGGTGGTATTTTCTTCAACCAAAACCATTACAGAGTCACTAATTTCACTTTTATGAAATTCACCCACAATCTGAGATGGACTTTCAATATACACTCACTGGCCACTTTATTAGGTACACCATGCAAGTACGTGGTTAGGCTACCTTCTGCCTTTATAACTGACTTAATTCTTGGTGGCATAGATCCAACAAGGCGCTGGAAACATTCCTCAGAGATGTTGGTCCATATTGACATGATAGCATCACACAGCTGCTGCAGATTTGTTGGCTGCACACCCATGATGGTAAATGGTAAATGGACCTGCATTTGTATAGCGCCTTTCTAGTCATCTAGTGACCACTCAAAGCGCTTTTTACACTACGAGTCACGTTCACCCATTCACACACACATTCATACACTGGTGGCCGAGGCTACCATACAAGGTGCCACCTGCTACTCAGTTTTAACACACTCATACACCGATGGAACAGCCATCGGGAGCAATTTGGGGTTCAGTATCTTGCTTAAGGATACTTAGACATGCAGCCTGGAGGAGCCTGGGATCGAACCACTGATCTTTCGATTGGTGGACGACCTGCTCTACCTCCGAGCCTCCCGTTCCGTTCTCCTTTTCTATAAACCCTAGAGATGGTTGTGCATGAAAATCCCAGTAGTTCAGCAGTTTCTGAAATTCTAACAACCATGCCATGTTCAAAGACACTTAAATCACCTTTCTTCCCCACTCTGATGCTCGGTCTGAACTTCAGCAGGTCGCCTTGACCATGTCTACATGCGTAAATGCATTGAGTTGCTGCCACGTGATTAACTGATAAGATACTTGCATTGACACGCAGTTGAACAGGTGTACCTAATAAAGTGGCCGGTGAGTGTATTTAAATAACATTAGAAACAGACCAGATGTTTGATGTCAGGCTTCATTTCATCCACAAAGAACCAGAATAATGTCACCACGAGAACCCCTAAATACTGGGGGCTTTTCAGGTGATTTTTAAGTGTTAACATCACCCTATTTTATGTTTATTTGTTCTACAGTTGATTTACTCCTACAGCGTTGATGAAAAGGTAGATTGCAATGCCTAGTGGAAGCCAGCTTAACAGCAGTTCCTGTTTATCACTGCCTTATAATTGTAATAAGGTAATTTTATTTGTACCTTCAATGCAGAAAAGGGCAAGTAAAGGACAACTTAACTCAAGAAAGTTTCAAGAGTTTAATATTCAGAAAATACCAAAAGGAAACAAATGGCTCCGTGTCAGGTAGGAAATCAGTGAGAAGAAATAGAGGTATGCTTTACAAAATGGATGGCAATAGAGCACGATAAAAGGTGAACACAACTTGCAGATAAAACGTGCAAAACTACCAGTATTGCCATTAAAATCTTTGGTTTTGTAAAACTTATTTAAGTTTTGCCTTATTCTATAAATCATTTCAGGGTGAGACCCTGGGATGCTGTCACCATATCTACATTTAGTAATTCTACACAGTGCTTCGTAACAGTGGAACATGATGTTATCCAGTTATATTTGATGGTGTTTGTTCGCTAGAGGCTCGTACGGATGTGCTGTTTTTGTGGTAAAGGAGGTGGAGTCTCTGCTGACCCCTCAAGGCTGCTGAAGGAACTGCAGCTGTCCGTGTCATTTAGAGAAGCAGCGTTCATTTCTAAAACCAGACCCATTTCCTCCTCTTCTGTCTCTTTGCGCAGTTCCTCATTTGTGTCATCTTCATCTTTCTCTGTACCTGATCCCTCCTCCTCTTCATCCTCCTCCTCCTCTTCATCCTCCCTCTCTGATCTTGGCTGATCTGGTCTTGAAAAAGGAACAGGTATTTGATAGGCCTGCTCTGCCAGCTGAGGGAAGGCTGGAGAGGTGAAGGGAGAGAGCGAGAATGGGATCTTAGGGGAGGGAGACGGGGACTGGTAAGGTGAAAGAGAGGGTGAAGCGCTGGGTGAGTCATACGGAGACAGAGAAAGGGGAGCTCTGGGAGAAGCACATGGGGACTGATAAGGCGAGAGAGAGGGAGAAGGACCAGGAGAGTCATCAGGGGAGAGGAATGGAGATACTTTGGGGAAAAGGGGAGGAGCCGTGGGAGAAACAGATGGGGAGAGGTATGGAGAGAGTGAGGGACAAAGGGAGGAATTGACCATTGCAGAGGGCTGCATGTAGTCTGAGTCGTCTGGGAGATCCTCCATTTCTGCCAGTAGTTGCTCTGTAGCCTCCTCTTCCCTGACTCCAGCCTCCATCGGTATTTGGCACTCCTCCTGCAGCTGGAAGTCAGCAGCTGCTGACAGAGGCTGAACTTGGGCCTCAATGGGGGTGACCTGACTTGGGTTCTCACCTTGTAAATGACCTTTACTGGGATCCGCGGTTCCTTGTCCCTGTTTCTGGGCTTTACATTTTTTTCTTCTGGTTTTTGGCATTAGAGGCGGTGGAGGAGGAGGAGCGAGCGGGGGCGCCAGCAGGGTCGACGACTCGGTGGAAACCCGAACCTTGAGGCTGCGTTTGAACATGCGCTGTCTGGACAAAGGGGCCTGGAACTGCAGGAAAAGGGGGTTGATGAAACAGAGGGCGCCCTGGCCGGAGCCACAGTCCAGCTCTCTTGGGCTGCGTGTCGTGATTGGACAAAACTCATGGAACAGGGTGGGATTGGAACCAGCGGTGTCTGATTCAGCAGCTGTCTTGAGCTGGTTGTCTGAGTTGGATTGGGGAGTTGAATTAGGCTGAGCTGCGGAGCTTGTCTGTGAGGCAGCAGTGGCCGGGGCTGAGGGTATAGCATCTGGCTTCTTCTCCTTGTCCGTCTGGGGCTTGGGTGCCTCCCGTGGCCCACGGACGTTTAGGTGGGAACTCCAGAACTCTATAAAACACAATGTTTTTTCATTATAGTCAAACCTGCTGGTCAGTTCCTGCTCTGCCTTTGTAATCTTGACAATTTCATACACTGTATGAACATTTTACACGGTACAGTGTGTCTAGACTCTAGCCTGATTGTTTTTTGTTCTTGCTTTCTGTTTAATATTTCATATGAAAAAGTAATTTTTAAAGAGTATTTTATATACATTGTTGATTTTACTAGAAACCATCAGTCTGTGTCTACTCATTTATCCTTCGGTGGTCAGAGGGAAAAATAACCTGCACATTAATGTTTCCAGTGTTTATGTTTGCTACCCTGCAGCTTTGGAGGCAATTACTGTGTGTATAGTATGTGTGCAATAAATCCTCCAAGGCCCATATATCTGAGGTTGAGGTTACAAAATAGACTTGTGTTCACCTACCTATTCCCATATGTGAGATGGACTCCAGCTCTTTGTGTGATGTTGCCCTTGCAATAGCTTCAGGAAGCTCCAGAGGGAAGCATAATACATCTCTGACACACAGAGAATATGTAACATTAATGAGTTCTTGCAGATCAATAAATATTGACAGTGATCAATGTAGAAAAATAGGAAAAACTGATGATGGCATATTGTGGAAGGCGTGAAGGTGAGGAAAAGAAACAAATGGCAAACAGCTGAAGGAAATGAGAGCCAGGAGGAAAGGGTTTTACCTGCTGACACAGTAGAAGGAAATGAGTCTTGGGAGATCTGGAAAGCTGATGGCTGAAGTCTCCAGAGACAGAGCTGGGGGGGAGGAAAATTCAAAGGTGCAGGGATTTTTGGAGGAGGAGAACAGTGGTTAGAAGTAATCTTGTGTAAATAATGTGTAACACTGGAACATAACTGTGGTTAAGGACCATACCAGTAGTTCTGTCATTTTGTAAAGCCTACACATGGTTTTTGAATTGATTTCCTGCACTCCAGAGACTTGCAGGGAAACCAGGAACAGTTACACTTACTTTATGACATGGTAATACCTTAGAGCATACATGAGGAGTTGTCAATGGACTGAAATAAGCACAGTAATGAATTTAAATGCTCTGTTTGCAGCTTTGTCTCTTTGGAAATCTAATTGTCGTATACTATTTTAAATAAGTATTCCACAACTAGCCGCTCAATCAGACAGGATCTTGATTTGTGAGCACACAAGTATGACCGTACATGGCAGATTTAGTCTTGCTGGCTAAGTGTTTGGGGTCAGACAGAGAAATAACATTTAAAAACTCATGTCATACTCTTGCTTGAGTGTTCCTCCCTGATGCCAAACTGCTGAACGAAGGACGGCACACTGTCGTCTGCCAAGCGGACACACAGCACGTTTCTCTGGGACGTGCGAGACTTGCGCACCAGGAAGCTCTGCAGGACAACACAACTGATTACTGAGTGCACGTGTGAGTGTGTAGGACATGGAAAGAGAAGACAAGAGATGTACTGTGGTGACACTAAGTGTGTGTGTGGCTCTGACCCCAGGAGGCTCCCTCTGCAGTATGTGCAGTGCAGTGGCAGCATTGATGGACAGCTGAAGCCACACTGGGACTGTGAGCAGCAGACGGTCCAGTATGCTGATGTTTTTCAGAGAGCCCTGTCCTCTTTGATGCCCTGCGAACTTGCGCTCTGATGGCTGGGTGGGCTCTGGGAAATCATACAGCGGCTCTTCTTGTGCCATCTACACACACACACACACACACACACACACACAAGAAAAGTACACCCATGGTAAGTGTCCTGCCACTTATCGTCCCATGGTGTATGCATACTGCAAGTGGTTATTATCTCCCTGTGCGGCGCTCCTTCACAACAGAAGATGGTTGGGATGCCTTCTCACACACACACACACACACACACACACACACACACACCTGCCTAATAAATCTGCCTGGATTGGGACAGCAAGTCCAGACTTGGTAAATTGCAGCAGCTCAGATAGATCTTAAATAAAGTAGGAAGCTACTGGAAACACACGTTTAAAATGTTGACACACACACACACGCCACAGATGGTGAGGTAACATTCAATATCAAAAATAAGCACTCAGTTTTATTCTTAGTTTGAGGTTATTATTTTTGAACATATCCAACAGGTCTGTCAATCTCACCGCAGCCTACATGTCAACATCTGTCTGGATCTGCA